TACCGCTCCCCCTCCCCCCCCCCTCCCCCTCCCTCCTCATCACCCCCACCCTACTCACCGGTCTGGATGCAGTTCCTCGAGTCTCTCGACGAGACCATGACGGTGCTTGAGATGCGCAAGAAGCTGCGTGATATCGACCAAGATGCAAACGGCCAGATGGCGCTGCTTGAGTACCTGGTGTACCGGTACGAGTTTGGCGTCCAGGAGACGGTTGACGCACCGCAGGGCGACAACTCGGAGGAGGTTGCCAAGGCGCAGTCGCTCTTCGACGAGGTCATGACCGCACTCGACGCGCAGCGCGCCGCCGTCGCCGCGCTGCAGGCTGCCGAGGCTGAGCTGCAGGCTGCCGAGGACGAGCTGCAGTCGGCCATCGACGACCTCAAGTCGCAGGAGGACGCGTACCACGGTGCCATTGCCACCGCCGAGGCCAAGGCCAACGATGACACGCTCGGCGTGGTCAAGCGCAACCGCGCCCGCGCCGAGCTGGCCCAGCTGCAGGCCGAGGACCCGCTCCCGCTCCGCCGTGCCAAGCTCACCCAGGAGGCTGCCCTCCGCAAGGTCGGCAAGGAGAAGAAGAAGGTCGCCGCCAAGGTTGCCGACGCCGAGGCCAAGCAGGGCGAGCTCGAGGACAAGCTCGAGGAGGCCTCTGCTGAGCTCAAGCGTGTCCAGCAGTGCGGCGGCACCGGCGAGGGTGTTGTCTGGTTCCTCACCCGTGTCGAGATTGAGGCCGATCGCTTCCTCCCGCCCTCCAAGCAGAAGTATGCCCACCTCCACGCCAAGATCAACACCCGTGCTGGCGCCGAGGAAGAGGCTTAAACCCCCTCCCCCCCTTCTCCGCGCGCACGCTCGACCAACCCCCAAATTCCCACCACTCGCACCACCCTTCTTTCTCCCTTTCTCCTCTCCCAGCCAGCCACCGCCACACCACTCACCAACCAACCCCCCACACCACCCACCACCCACCACCCACACCACCCACACCACCCACTTGACCACCCACCACACCACCACCACACCACCACCCACACCCACACCCACACCCACACGTCTCCTCAGTCTAAGTCGGACAAGGCGTCCTACATCATGAGCCAGTATGAATTTTAGCGTCGGCACATC